GTCCAGTTGGAAAACATCTATAAGTGATCATTAATTCAAGTAGGATCCACATATGTTTATGGCGTACAGCTGCTGGTCTGGAATTCCTGAGCACACAAAAATGAATAACATAAATATTCATGCTATTAATTTGGGATTGTAAATACTATAATTCTCTATTAAGACTAAACTGTAACTGATAACCTAGTCACATAGCTAACAGCATTTTAAATATAAAAAAAAAAGGTCACAGGAATTCTTGGCCCCCAAAAGAAAAAAAAAAAATATATATATATATATATGACAAGACAGAAGGCTGCATATAAAAGGCTACAAGAAATTTCATATCCTTATCACTGTGTTACCCCAATCAGAAAGTAAGGTTCCAAGGAGCAGAGATCTTGGGGATTACCACTGCCCTAATACCTAAAGCAGTGCTCTGAAATGAGAGGGGGTGCCCACATTTGCTAAACAGACAGATGGATCTAGAAAAACAACACTGTACTATAGCCTAAGCAAACCGTTTTATACAAAGTTGATATGATAATGTGGAAAAACTGCCTTAATCATAACATACTACAAGCATATAAAACACTGCAGAGAGAAGAAACACAAGAAAAGTGTAAAAATTAAAACAGGGCGCTAACCAGGTAAGGCATGACATTTAATTTATGTGATAAGGGCAGTGCAGGGTTTTGCCACAGGGTAATTAGGTAAAGATTTTTAGTGTCAGTTTTGACTATCCATTTTCCTCTCAACAAACATTTTTACATATCTCCTCATGGTTTTTCCTACTTCTTGTAAAATAAAGCCTATCTGGAAAAAATACAAAAATAAAAAGGTGTGAGGCAACACCTAATAAAACATTTCCTAAGGTACTTCTCCTATGCAGCCCAAGGGCTACCGCAGATTTCAGTTCCTATGATGTGCTAATGAATAAAAGGGAGTGAAAGGGGTTAAAAAAAATAAAGTAAACCTTTGTACTTAGTAATTAAGAAAACCAGAACATGTGTTAAATCCACATTGACGCACATTAGTTACAGAGTTAAGACCAGCCAGTGAACTGTGAAACCCCCTTATTGCCCTCATGCCACTTCTGGAGAAGAGAAAGGGAATTTCAAAGGTAATGTCATTAATTACAAGTGTTTTAATAATTATTTTAACTTGGAAAAATGTACACTTTCGATTTGGTATAAAAGATTCAATCTCCCATCTTTGCGGTACACAAGCTTCTTCTTTCATGACTCTTCAGCTCATGCTGCTGAAAGGCCCACTCCTCCACCTCTGCTCACTGTCACTCTTTGAAGTGACCACCAAAGTCAATTACTAAAACCATGCATACATTAAAAGACATAAAACAGGTAATTATTCCTGTGTCACAGGTCAATTTCTTTATTTTTTATTCTCTCTATGCAATTAAGTTATGTGGGCAATAAATTCACAGTTTTAAAAACAAAAATAATTAAACCTTATTGCCTAGCACTATATTAGATCCAACACAAATGAAGATACACAACTTCAATCCTCACACTCTCTGTACTTTTATAATGCATAGATTTTTTTCTATCAGCTTAAAAAAATATACAAGATTACTGTGTGTGTGTGTGTGTGTGTGTGTGTGTGTGTGTGTGTGTAAAATTTTTAGGAGATGCATCAAAATATTTCATTACCTCTTATGGTTTGGTTATGAGGTGTCCCCCAAAAGTTCATGTGTGAGACATCAAAAATGTTCAAGGTGATATGATTGAATTATAAGTGCTATACATAATCCACAGGCTAATCTATTCAATGGATTAGTAACTGACAAGACTACCATATTGTGTCACTGGAGGTGTGCCTTTTGGGTTTAAACTTTGTCCCTGGTAAGCTGAGCTCTTTCTCTCCTTCCTGGCTCTCATGAACTGAGTGCTTTCTTCCACCACGCCCTTCCGCCATGACTACAGAGTCCACCAAGTACAATCTCTGAAACTAGAAGCCAAAATGAACTTTTCCTCCTCAAATCTGTTCTTGTCAGGTCTTTTGGTCACAGGAAAGGAAAGTAACTGGCCTAGGGATTATAGTTTACCAGACAAGGTTTAATTTAAAATCTGGACTTTACAACTCTAAGCTTGGCTTCCCAGCAGTTAAGTCAAGCTTTTTAAAGTTTAGGTTGAAAAGAAATTCAACATCATTTAGCACTGTTCCTAAAACACAGATTGAGGCCCACACTGGCATAAAGCCCTCTGCACTCAGGAGAAAGACAACTTCCTTTCTTGGCAGGCACCCTATACTTCACATAAACTCCTTCAACATGTGGGATAACCAATAAGCCACCATCCTCTGGAGAAGAAGGCATATATCAGAACATAAAAATATATGAGACTGCGATGACATGGGCAGGACCTGTATGGCCTTCCTTGACTTCTCCACTGGGGCTGGAGCCAACTCATTCCTTAAGACTTCACTCAAGCACATGTGCTTTAAGTTCTGACTCCATATGATGAGATACAATTATAAAATTAAAAAATAAAAAACCACAGTGCATCCAAAAACAACAATGCACTTTTTAAAGGTATATATATAGGCATGTCAATGCGTACAAAAAGTCTTGAAATGTATGCATATCAAAAATGTATTTACTTATCGAAAATGGAGAGGGGTCCAATTTCAGTGCTTCATTTTTTTTTTTAAGGAGAATACATTCATTACTTAAGTACATGGAAGTGTATCTAATTAACAGATTTCTCTGTAACTACAGCACAATCTAATATAGCACTAAGCTCATCATCCATTATTGGTCTTGTGTAGCTTTTCTTCCTTCTTAGTAAGAAGAATGCCCAACCTGGCACACATTATTTATTGAGTGAATACCCCCAAACTAGGCAAAGAAATGATTGACAAAAAGAAACTCTGGGCTACTTCTAAAAGGCCCAGAGTCAAAAAATTTCTTTTCAACCTAGACTTTACAGCTTGGTATGACTGTTAAGAAGACAAGAGTTATGAAGTCTAGATTTTAAATCAAACTTTGCATGGTAAATTCCTAAATTACTTAATCATTGTTTTCCTCATCTATAAAACATAGATGAGAATATCTTCTTCCTACCTTAGTAGGTATGATTAAAAGAGAATATATACAACTAAATTAGCATAGTACCTGATACTCAATGTACCTGATACACAATACTCATTATTGTGCCTTTCATGCTCAATCACTAAAGAAATAATTTCATATATTTTTTGCTAATCAGAAAGTGTTAATAAAACATTTAAAATATCTGCCATCTAGGAAATAACAAACTTGACAATCTTGCTAATGTTAGCAATGAAACAAAAAACATGAAGTCCATCAGGTCCGTAAAAGTGAAAAAAATGAACAATTCTGCAGAGTAACTTCCATACAGATACAGGCAAATCATGCAATTTAAATCTTGATTCCAAAAAGAAAAGTTTTAATCATCCAACTTCACAGACTGAAAATGCTCCTATTTGGTTCATACACATTATTAAGCTGTACATCACTGTTCTTCTTGAGGAGTATGCTAACTATCCAAGTTATTAGTATGCCGGCAGTGCTCAATGATGCCTTCCACAGTTAATTGGCTAAGAAATCTTATCCAGAAAATTTAATGAATAAGTTCACACTGAGGTTCAGAGGATGCCTTGGATAAAGATCTATAGCAATTAAAAAAAACAAACCCTACTGCTTGTTTTGAGTGGCTATCTCAATTTTCGTTATAAAAACATTTATACTTCACCTTACCATAACCCATTATAATTTATCATAAAATGAGTTCATCTTAGATCAGAGATCCAAAGCACATGTTTAATTCCACAAATAATTATAAAGCACCTAATATATTCTAGGATAAAGATTTAAAAATGAAAAGGTATCCCCCCAAAAAAACAAAAAGAATTTTCTTTTATATATTAAATTCCAGAAATAACTACAGAAAATATAATATACAAAATCAAATAAAGCTAACAAGGCTCAATAAAACTTTATTTCATCATCAGTCTCCTCAAAAATATTTAAATTCTTTATTCAGTCTTCTCATAGTAACCAAATTCAATAACTCAACAATTCAAATATGTTTTATTTATGCACATGTGTGTTAGAAAAATATGTTTGTACATATATACACACACATATATATGCATTTTATATATACACACATATATCTCACTTATCTCTAATTAGTTTTCCTATAAAAAAATTTGCTAAAAAAAATAAAATAAAATTTTCTAAACTCAATTGACTATGTTACCTGTTTTTATATTTTTCCCTCAAAAAAGCAAAAAAGGCATAACAGGTATAGAACTGGGTCTATTTCATCAACATCTACATTGGTTCTTTTTTTTAATATAGTTATGTATGAACAGAATGCTTTATTGTGTTTATTTTTATGTGGTGCTGAGGATTGAACCCAGTGCCTCACTCAGGCTAGGCAAGCACTTTGCCACTGAGCTACAGCCCCAGCCTCTATATTGGTTCTTTTCATTTTTTTTTCCTTTTTCTTTTTTTTTTCTCTCAGTTGTAGTTGGACGATATCTTTATTTTATTTATTTATTTATTTTTATGTGGGGCTGAGGATCGAACCCAGGGCCTTGTACATGCTAGGCAAGCACTCTACAGCTGAGCCACAACCCCAGCCCCAACACCTTCACTTTAGATACTTATTTCTTTATTTTTCTATGGTGCTGGAGATTGAACTCAGGGCCTTGTGCATGCCAGGAAAGCACTCTGCCACTGAGCTATAGCCCCAGCCCCTATATTGTCTCTCTTGTAGTTTTATGTTACTTCAACTAAGGAATGTGTTTCAAAAATTATTTAACAATTCTATTTTCTTAGTCCCTTAAAAAGGTGATATCCAATCTCAAATATGCAGACACATTTCTGAAACAGAAAATTTAACAACTCTCTTTGTTACAATTAGTACAGAACTCACTGCAAAAGAAAAACTAAGACACTAATAATGCTGACAACTCACAATTGTTACTATAATCAAAGAACATCAATCAGCAATTAATATAGCACTGCTCACCTGTTCATTTTTGCAAAGCCACACGTTGCTTCCCTTTAACACAGTAAAAATTTTGGCTTTATATCCTCTCAGTTCAAGATATCCACACTTCTCAGGTGCAACAGCTGCTTGAGACTGGGAAGTGAAGGACTGTGATTTCAATGCATTTAATAGTATGCTGATCCAGTCATTTCTCTCCTCTGAAAATAGACAGGAGAAAATACATAAGTCTATATATAAGTCACACAGATACAAAAAAAAAAATGTCATCAAGGAATCCGCTTCCTTGGATATAGATTATTCACAATTTTTTCCCCCCACAACCACATTCTAAACATTACTGGGGGCAGGGACAAGAGTCCAGCCCTCTAAGGAAAAAGAAAAAACACTTACTACTTGGTTGTTACAGAACCAGTACCACTGGCTTCTGGTTGCTTATTAGAAGTACAAAATCTCTGCGGATGCAGTGGTGCACACCTATAATACCAGCAACACAGGAGGCTGAGACAGGAGGACCATGAGTTCAAAGCTAGCTTCATCAATGTAGTGAGGCCCTAAGCAACTCACTGAGATCCTGTCTCTAAATAAAATATATAAAAGGGCCGGGGATGCCACTCAGTGGTTAAGTGCACCTGGGTTAAATGCCTGGTACTGAAAAAAAAAAAAATAGAAATACAAAATTGCGGCCCCACTACAGACCTTATGAATCAGAACCTACATTTTACAAAGAACTCCAGGCAACCTATATCCTTTTTAAAGCATGAGGAATACTCCTTCAGATGATTCATGAGACTGGATTTTTCCTTTCAGTAGAAGAAAGTAATACTGCAACCCAACAATTAATAATTGAATATAGCAATTCAATCATCAAAATAGCCCCAAAACCCAGTGTCGTAACACTGCCCTGAAATTCATCCTTCCATTCCACTTCCAGTAACAGCAGCGGCTCAGCTAGCAAATCAACACTTGGTCCTCCCACTCCCTCCACAAAAGTTAAGTGACCTTCAACTATGCACCACACACTGTGTTAGGAGCACAAGAATTTGATTTGGTCCCCAAAGACCAATCAAAGCTATAAGTCAAGTTAGATATGAACACATAATGGAACACAGAATAGTATAAATGTCATACAAATGGTATCAAATAATATATGAGTCAATTCAGTTGAGGTAAGTGATTTGCTGAAGGTCATGCAGGAAGTTAGTATTAAAATTAGGACAATCAAATGTTTTAACACTCATACAACTGTTTTTGGCACCATAGGTAAAAAGGGTTATTTGTGCTAGCTCTTGTGGATGAGGAGCAATTCTAAATGGGTTTGGGAGAGGGAAGAGCAGAACAGAATTTTGAGCAAGGACAACACAAGAACACAGGCAGGAAGAACCAACATCTGTTAGGGACTAACTTAAGTAGATTTATAATTTTGAACTCACAAGGAAATAATGGGATATACAGCTAGAAAATCTGCGCTGCCTTTTTGAAGAATTTTGTTTTTATTACAGAGGCAAAAAGCAAAACAAAACAAAAAAAACATGTTGGGATTCTTAGCAAGGAAGGACATAATTAGTGTCATTAAGAAGATGACGAGTGGGCCAAACTGGAAGCCAAGACCAAGAGTGAGGCAGTGGAGCCTGTACAGTTCCAGGAGATGGAAGCAGAAGAATGTGGAGGGCAAAGCATGGCTGAGGATTTGAGTACATCTGATGGATGTTCTAGAAAATAAAGAATACAAGGTAGCTTGATGTCACAAGTGGGCAGGCAAAGGCAGGCGGTTCCACAGGACACCTCAGGTGTTCAGTGCCCTGGCACAAACACTTGGCAGACTGACAGTCACATACAAGCAAAGGAAGCCACTCCTCGGGGGTGGAGTGGTGACACAGAGAAGTGGGCAAATCCTGAGGCAGGACTGCATCTATGAGACCAGAAAATGGACCACCAAACAATGAGGACGTGCTTAACAAGTCAAAGGGGTAAAAAAAAAATACCGAAAGCAAGAACAAAACCAAGCAGAATGAATCTCAGGTAAGAAAGACTTTCAAGGAAAGAGTAAGTAGGGCCAAAATTTGAGAACTAGGACAGTTTCTCAGATCCTTCTAAGAAAGTTCTACCCACAGCAGCTTCACTGGGGACTGAAACTAAGTTTCTATCTTAAGACTTGCTCAAATTCAACTCTAAAATCATTTCATAAGGAGTCTTAATTTTTAAATTATCTTTATTCCTGCTCACCTATTAAAAAAAAAAAAACTAAAGGCAACAGTGTCAATGACTCAAAGCCAACGTATTTATTAAAAAACCTATACATTTTTACAGGGGTTATGAAATCCCCAACAACTGGTGCTCTCAGGATAAAATATTTACCAAAATGTTCCTAGCAATGTTATGTATCCTAAAGTGAAGACGTCAGAGTACTCAGGTAGCTAAATGAATTAATAGGCAGTGACTCCCTGCAGTTTTACATCTACATAAACAGATCCAGATTGCACTATGGTAATATTCTACATTTTTAGGAACAGCTAGAGAGCTTCCACTTAACTGGGTTATTACTTATGATCATTAGTTTCACACAATATGTCTCTGCCAAGTAAATGTATGTAATGGCTTTTATTTGTTTGCTCGTTTGTGTTAATCGACATGAATCAGTTTGAAATGTAGGCTACAATTAATGAACTGGGCCATAGTGTGGCCTTTTAGGTCACTGTTAGTATATATCTCAAATTTGTAGGAATTAATTTGAAACTGGCAATTGCTTTTTTTCTTCTTATGTATATAATGGCAGCATTGCAATAAAGGTTCCCTAACATTCTCTTGCTTCTGGGGACCTCCATTACTAATAGGAAGCAAATAATTATGAAGATTAAGAAGAACAAGAATTAGTAGCAGCATTCAGTCTTAATTCTCCATGTTGTAACAGGGGTCTCTTTCATGCAATATAATTTCTGCTGCTCTTCCACTAACAACTTACTTTAAACCTGACTTTTTTTTTCCCTTACTCTTATCCCTCTTCCCATCCCCAGCCAGGAGGGAAGCAAATTAATACTCTCCTGTACTAAGCAGAGTTATCTGCTCTTCCACTCACTGTACAAAAGAATAAAGAAACCCCAAACCTGGAACAATATCTCTTTCAAGGATGTAAGTTAAATATTAATTATATATACTCATAATAGTACTTGGGAAACAGCTCTTACACACCCTTTTAAAGTTCTTGTTCCCCCAGCAGTTAGAATGGCAACCTCTATGACATGAGTTGACTGCCTTTCTCCTTCGATAACAAAGCAATAAAACTTCTTTTCCTTTTTCTTTTGTTCCATTAGTGGTTTAGCATCAGGGATAAGATCACCAGGCTTTTGGAATCAATTCTGAGAGAGGACAGTGAAAAACTAATGCAAACACTGTAAAAGAGCAAGCATCATTTGTATCTGGCTTTGCAACATGTGTCTCCTTAGACATGGGTGAATGTGCTTTGATAACCCACAATACTCCAAACCGTATTATGATTTCCCCTTGGAAAAATGACTGGGGCAAAGCTAGAAACTGTGCCAGCAGCTTTTGTCTGCTCTTCACACTAAAATACAGCAGTCCTCCTTACCCATGGTTTCACTTTTGCAGTTTCAATTACCTAAGGTCAACTATAGTCAAAAAATATTAAATGGAAAGTTCCAGAAATAAACAATTAATGAGTTTTAAATTGCACATTATTCTAAGAAATGTGTTAAAATTTTGCACTGTCCCAGTGTCCCACCCAAAGACATTAGTCATCCCATAGTCCAGTGTATCCATACTGTTCTGTATATGATACTCATCTGTCAGTCAATAATCATGTTACCTGCCATAGTATTGCAGTACTTATGTTCAAGTAGTCCTTGTCTTATGAAATAATGGCCCCAACACACAACAGCAGCAAAACTGGCCATCTGGATATGCTACAAACAAGCTGGGAGGTACTTCAAGTAAAAAGGTAAAAGTACAATAAGAAATTCTGAGAGACCACATTCACATAAATTTTATTACAGTATACTATAACTTTTTTACTTCATTATTAGTTATGGCTATTAATTTGTTACTGTGCATAGCTTATGAAATGAACTTTATCATGGGTATGCACAGATAAGAAACAACACAGTATATACAGAATTTGACTATGACTCAGTGGATTCTGGGGGTCTTGGAATGTACCTCCAGCAGATCAGAGTATATATTACTACTGTTCTTTCATTCCATCCAATAACATGTATCTATTGATTATCTATCTTTATCTTCACACTGTAATATGCATGATTTCCTTGTAAAAATATGTCCTGCCTTAATTATGGCTTTGCATTAAGTGTAGTATTCCAGTTAGGAAGAAAAGTAGCAGAAAAAAAAAAAAAGAACAAGTGATTTTGCTAGAATGTAAACCAAAGACAATAGTGATTTCTTCAGCCTGAAATTAGTTTTTTGAGGTTTTTAGAAATGTCAATTTATAAGAATCAAAAAAGGAAATTAAACAAAAATCAACAGAAAAGACTCAATGTTCTCAGACTACCGGACTTAGCAGTAGGTCTAGTCATCAGTAAAAAATGATTGATTATACCAGAGATAACTACATTACAGACATGCAAACCATCAATAACATAATTTTGCCAGGCATGGTGGCACATGCCTGTAATCCCAGCTACTCAGGCGAAAGAGGCAGGAGGATTGCACAAGTTCATGTCTAGCCTGGGCAATTTAGCAAAACCCTGTTTCAAAACAAAAAATTTTTAAATGGGCTGGGCATGTAGCCCAGTAATAAAGTGCTTGCCTAGCATGTGTGAGACCCAGAGTTTAATCACCAGTATCAAAAATCATTAATATCATTATCATCATCATCTTTATTATCATCTAACATGATGTGGCTTGTTCTTTGGCCCTTTACTGTTGATTAATCTGGTTGAACAAAGATCTCTCAATGTCATTCATGATTGACATTAGGGAGAAAGTACTACATAAGGATCGTTCATCAAATACACAATCACTTCACCATACAAATATTTACTGAGCACCTACTATCCCCAAGACTGAAAACCAGGAATGAGAGTGAACAAGGCAGATCATGGCCTTACTCTCCCATAGTTTATGCTCTAGTCGGAGGAAGATGGCAGTAGGAAATTAGATACTCACTACCATATGTTACAAGTGACAAAGCACAGGATGAGGGGTACAGGAAGTGCTATTTTATATAGGGTAATAGAAAAAGCCTCAGAAAAATAGGGGTGGTAAAACAAAAGCCTAATGGCCTTGGAAGCAATGGAGCCAGCCAGGAGGGTGCCTGGAGGTGAGCACGCCAGGATAAGAGGGCAGCAGCTGGCAAGGCCCCATGGAACAAGAGGTGTGCATGTTAAGCAACAAGAGACTCCTGTAGTTGAAATGCAGTGAGGGGGAAGGGGCGTGGAAGAAAATAAGGACAGAGAGACCAAGGCCCCACCATGGAGGGGCTTCAGAACATTAGAAGTACTTTACTCTCAATACGATAGAAACACAAGGTCCCTTTGAAGGGGACTGACATGATCTGACTTTCACGTTGAATGATTGCTCTCACAGTTATACTGACAATATGACTGTCATCAATCAAGGAAAGTGATTAACATAACTCAGGCAGAAGTGGTGGCTTCCAGTAGAGAGGCAATGGTGAAAGGGTTGAGAAATGGTCAGTGTCCAGGCATATTTCCAACATCAAACCGACAAGAGTTGATAATGGAGTGGATATGAGATATAAAAGAAGGAAAGGACTTAAGAATGAAAACCACAATTCAAGTCCCAGGCACATGAGTCTCCATCTACAGAGATGAGGAAGGTCACAGGGGAAGGTTTAGTGGAGAGAGTGAAAATAAATATTTGCCATTTTTAAGTCTGAGATGTCACTAAACACCCATGTTGAGTGGTCAGCTAAATATACATATCTGGAGTACAGAAAGAGATCAGAGGACATACATATTTGAGATCAGGCACTTTAAACCCATGAGATCTTCTTCAAAACCAAATTTGGGGCCCAATAATATGATATTTTAAAAGAAATTGGGAATCCTAGCAAGTTCATGAACTATATCAGAAAATTCCAAAACACCATTAATTAAGTCTGTAAAGCAGATACTCATTGACCATTGTTAACAGCATTAAGTAGGGTAAGAGAGTAAAGGACTATAGGTACTCCATGCCTTGCTTCTAAAAACACTGAAGATTTCAAAAGAGGGATGAGACTGCTTGTACAAAACAACTAAGGAGAATTAATTTATCAAGCATATTTTAAAAATAAATAAATAAATGACTACTTTCCAGTATCAATATCACAGCCACCACTGGAAAGTTTATGGTGTTGCCTAAAAACGGCTGAGAGCTCACCCACTTGCCTATTTCCCAGGGTTCTTGAACATGTTAAGGTGGAAAGAAGAAACACAGGACCCACCGCTAAGGGCCAGTCAGATAATGTCCTGAAAGAAAAATCCACTCAGAATTCTTCAGCCCTCTTCTAATCATGACAAGCGTCCACTCAAAATATCACCTGTTACAAGTGCCACAGGAATACAGACTGACCAAACAGATCGTGAACTGATACACTCTTTGCTCCAATGTTCACCATTCACCCCAATGGTTCTGCTTGAGAACAAGAAGTCAGACTAAACTTTGCATTTGAGGAAGAAGAGTATTTTAGAAATGTTATTATTTCAATAAAATTCACTTTCCACTATTAGAATAATCATATTTAGCAGGAAACCTAAAGGAATTTAAGCCTTAAGTGACTTGTATGGACAAGACACCAAACTGCAAACCTGTCTTAGCCTTGCGAATGGGTGGGGAGCAGTTCAAAAAGAGTGACACTGGTTTCAGGGAAGACAAAGGCAGCAGTTGTACGTAGTCATTCAAAACCTCTTCACTAAAAATGAAGGAAGTCATCTGTTATGTTATCAAACTCAAACCATTCCCCTTTCTGCCCGTAACTTTGATTCTGCTTCATTAGATTGAAGCAAAATTTAATTTAGAATTAAGTTCATTAAGCCATTTTTTTCATAAGACACTGTAGTTGATTTCTCACTTCCCACAAAATAAAACATAATCAACCATTTATACACGTTGGGGGAATGAATATTTTATAAAACAAATTGAGTATCTTCTTAAAGGCTCCATACTAAAAATGCGAACACACAGGTAACACACACGTATCACTTACACATAAGGACATATACACACTAGTACATACAAATTTTAAAATGTAAGTTGTTACTATGAAAAACCTTCCAGTCAAAATAACTTATTCAGTAACTCCACGTGGAAACAGTCTCAGTATTTACTGAAGCAGTGTTTCCATGGTTTCAAAAATTAAAGACCTATGATATAGTTAACAAAAAATTTACACTAAAAATAATTAAATTCTTACACTAAGTTTATATCACAAAAATTATCTACATACAACAGGATTTATTGGCCAATTATAAACATGCAACTTTTAAATTAACAAAAAATTCACACCAAAAATAATTAAATTCTTACACTAAGTTTATATCACAAAAATTATCTATATACCACAGGATTTATTGGCCAATTATAAACATGCAACTTTTAAATTCATGTGGATTGATACATTCTACTTAAATAAAATGTGTCACCTTAAAATAAATACATCTATAGAGATTTTCAGTTGTCTACCTTAAGATGCAGGTTGTATGGCATATGTGACATTCACTTCAAGAGGCCAAGTGGAGGTGACAAGCACCTCAAAGAAACAGGCAGTCACCTCTAAGGGCAGTAGAAATCAAAGCATAAGGAAAGACTGTCACAATGGCCCATCTAGAGGAGCAATACTGAGTTATCAAGAAATATAGGAAGAGAACAAATATTATTTCAAATGCAAAACCCATATTGAGCATCAAAACTGTGAGCAAATTCTGAATTTTAGGCAACGATTCACAAAAGTGGCTCCTCACATAGGCAATTCTTGATAAAATGCTCCAGGAAAGGGATTAGCCAACTGAAACTAACAAGACTATTTTGTTAAAACAATGACCAAATTTAGGCTACAAGCCACACAGTTTGCTGACCTTGGCTTTAGGGCCCCAGCTTCTGATAAATATGTATATATATATATATATATATATATATATATATATATATATATATATATATTTAATACTAAGTAAGAAACATTTTTACATTAAATCCATGCAATGTATACAACTATGTTTCACAATATAATATTTACTATAAGAAATGCACTTTATCATTTTGTTGTTGTTGTTTTGAACAAAACCAAAAAAAGTACTTTAGTTTTTGGTACCATCATAAAGAAAGATCATGGAGCTGTTCTCACAAATCAGCAAAAATCTAGTTTGAAAAAAAATTCTGCAGTGTGAAGATTAACTAGGATGCATTAATTATTGATCATCCCAAGCAATAAAAAAACTTTCTAGTAATATATAATATTTATTGAACTCTTTGTGTCATACACAGAAATATATTCTAACAATCTGTGTTAGATAACACCATAGTAGTTTCCAACTGCTGGTAAATACTTTCATCTGTAAAATGGGATAATAATGGTACACACTTTTAAGAGTGCTATAAAAATAAAAAGGTAGACTGTCTTTGGCACACTTCAAGTATTTAGTTAGTTTTCCATACCATTATTACTCAAAAAAAGCTTTGAAATACTTTGAAAAAATCAAATAAATAATGTATCTATACTATAATAAAAGCAATCCTTAATATAAGTTAAAACTTCATTTCTTTAATTAAAGAAATGACCTTACCTATGTTACTTCAAACTGGTGAAGTTTATAATAATGACATTTTAGATAGTCAAACAAAATATAAAACAGAGAAGTTTTAACTCCCCTTGCTTCTTATTCCCCAACTAAACAAAATCCAGAAAAGATTCCTCTGTACATGTTTAGATACAATCCAGAAAACACTTGCCATCTTTACATCAATTTTTGCCATCAAGGGACCCATGATAGATGATGAACATGAAAAAAATTCAAGAAATGAAAAAGATGCTTCAAAATGTGAAACAGAATGACTGGTGTGCCTGTGTCCTAAGCTGAAGCTAAAAACCTGTCCTATGTAAAGTAAACTTCCTTATAAAATCAACTTCCTAATAGTTAAGAACTGTTTTTGCATATTAAATAGCTATTTGGCATTACCAAAATAAGAGCTTAAACTGACTTCCTTGAGAGCACATTCCTGCTACTTTTTTGACTGCTGTATCTGGCATTTGAAAGCTCCTCTCTAAATTTTTTGCTCCAAGAAAGGAGTGAGCAACCACACACAGACAATTTCTCTATTTATTTAGGATTTAACATTGTGCATTTTAAAAATAGTTTTAAAACGCAAATCATTTAAAAGTAACATTTTAAAATTTCTTCACATTTCTTTTTTAGCTGGTTTGTTAAATCTGGTCAAAAATCAATGTCCACATATTTGAAGGGATAAAGAAATAATCTTACCTTCTTTTTCTACTCTAAACACAAAAGTCCTTTGTGTTGTAACAACTTCAAATTTGTTGTCTCCTTGAACTCGTACTGTAGACACAGCAGAAATGGGAATTATTCCTTTTGAATACATCTCCTGTATTGGTTGAAGAAAAAGACACAGTAGAATGAAATTCTCTTGATCTTATCAGAAAAGAAATGACATAGTATTTACAACTCTTCTTTTACGATTTCAATCCAATTTTTAAAATGACATACAATTCCACTGATTTAATTTCCCAGAAAGAAAACTATTAATGCCCCTTTCTTTTAAGGGAGATGTCTTATCACTTTTCTCTTCATTTGCAATTAAAAGGCAAAGACTGGAATGCAAATAAACCTACTAGGCTAGCAAAATATAATTCTAAAAACACAGCAGCATGTACTTTAAAATTAATCCGGTCAAAATGATTTTATGGTGTTTGCAGGCATCTGCTGGTCACAACAGGTACTGTAACTGAACCATTTCAAACTGCTATTATATATACACTGTGAACAAAAAGTACCTAAGAAACCTGTTCAGTTTTATGAATTAATGATGCTACTCAATACTTTGATAATGAGGTCACTTTTCTTTTTGTTCCCCAGTGACTAAAGAGTGAAAAAAAATGGATTTGGATGCTTGCAATAGGCATATACATACCATGACTTTGTTTTAAGTCATGACTAAGTTTTAAGACATGGATAACTTTTTCCTCAGTCTTCATTTTCCTAGACCCACCCAAATCATTTGGCATGACAAGCAATTTCAACTATTTACTAATGGTTAATATTTACAAGTCTTAAGTTAGAAAGAAAATTAAGAGAGTCCTTATACATTCAAGGAGTCTCAAAAGAAAAACAGCTAATGTAATAAGAGAAAGTTTAAAACAGAAAACAAAGTAAAAGACAAGTGCAAAGATGGAAATTCTCAAGTCTGCTTTTAAAAAGGTGCAAGCAGTATTTTTACAAACATGGTGACATTTGAGGTTGACTTTAAAAAAATCTTAATGTTAACCAAATTGATAAGTGGGTGGAGAACATTCTGGTCAGAAACACTGAATAATGAAGGTATGAAAAGGAGAAATAAGATGAAATAGCAATGCAACAAATAAGCAACAGAGTCAGAAGAGATGAGGCTGAAATCAAACATCAAGGTCACACTGAGGAAGGTCTTGAATATCAGAAAAGTTTGGATACATCCCGTCTTCCATTTTCCTCCACAGCATTATCTGGGGAAACCTCTGTTTAGAGCATGTCCCCAGTATCTGAAATAACTAATGAGAAGAATGTACTAAACCATTTCATGCAGAACGTAAGTACCAAGCTCATACTCCTCCCAGCTGTAAACGTGGCAGACAGGTAAGGGGTACCTGTCAGCCACCTGGTGTTCCATTGGAAGGATTGTTCTTTGCTAGCTGAGGATTTGCCCTATACCGTCAGGGCAGTCTCTTCTAGTTCTTTAACAATTTCTTCTCCTTTATTGACTCTGCTCCAGTCTCCCATCCCAGACTATATGTGTCAATCAAACTCCCATCCATTTTTATTTAAGTACTCAAAATAAATCTTTATTCTGTTAGAGTAATCTATATAATAAAAATATAAAGAAATAGATGGAAATTACAAAAAAAAACTGCTAAATTCATCATCCTAGTTAGTTACTTTAAGAGTAGGAGGAGAGGAAGCCATTTGGGAGGGAAACAGGATACATTCAATAGTATTGGTAATATTTTGCTTTTTAAATGTGATGATTGTGTACACACATAATCACTGAATTATTTGTATTTTTTGTGATCTAAATACAGCATGAGATATTCTGAATGAAAAGAAAGACAATAATTTAACCATTGGGTCTGTCAGTGTGGAAGTCATTTGTGCCTTTGACAAAAGCAGTTTCAGTGAATTACATGCTGGGAAAGGATATTGAGGTAGGTTGGAGAGAGAGGAGGATGAAAGTGAAAATGACGACTAAAGACCATCCATTCTTTAATATCCTATTAAATACCAATGCCATGTAGGCTTTCTTTCCTATCTCCTTTCATGCAGCCCAATCTGAACATGATATTTAAAGTGTGATTCAAGAAGATCAATGGGCAACCTCATATAGAAAAGGAAGAAGGGTGTCGGGAAATAACCACTTACAAAATAACTCATTTCTTCTCATTTCCCCTTTTTCCTTTTCTTTCTTTCTTTTCTTTCTTTTTTTTTTTTTGTAAGTCTTCTCTCTCTAGAAAGGAAAAGTCCCTTCTCCCTAATTGACCCACAAACCTTATATGAAAGAACCTCTCTCATCCCTCTGTCCACTCCTCTTCCTTCTTTCTGTTATCCATTTCACCCTGCTTCACTCTCATATTTTGAGTCATCAAAAGTATGTTCCTGTCCTGTAAGTACCTCAAATTTTAAACCCAAAGTCGTCCGCACCGAAAAACTTACCACCACTCTCTAGCTGCCCATTAAAAATTACTCTGTGAGTCAAACAAGGGACAGTCTGGACATCTGCTCATCTTGTACGCCCACATCACCTGGACTTTCCCCACACCCAGTGGCAGCTTGCGTCCTAGCACTTGCTAACTCTGAACTCTGGCCACAGTGGCCTTCCTGAGCTTACCTGAACACATATCTTTGCCCCAAACCAGCACCTGTGTCTACAATGCCTGCTCTGAAAGGAATGTTCTTCACCATCCTTGCAGACCATGCCCTTGTCCTCCTTCATGCATCAGTATAAAAACCCTCCCCCAATGAATTCCTTTTTGACCAGCCTTTTCTCTCAAGCCTCTCATCCTTACCCAGGCAGATAACCCTAATTTAAGGGATCAGCAACCTGTGCTTTTCCTTTATAGTAATTATTCACTATAATTTAAATAGTGATCACCTATACTTGGTGTAATCAAATGTGATCCTTTGATTAATAAGGTTTCTCCAAATAGACTTTGGGTCATTTATCTCTTTTCCTTACCACCTTTCTGGTAGTCAGAGCTATAGAAATATTTTTGAATGATCGAATCCTATGTTCAATCAATCACAATTATACCCAACTCTGACAGGTCATCTTTATTATTTTGTGAAATTCATTTTTTTATCAGTCCTACTGAACCTATATGTTAGTCTACAGCCTGATAAATTAATGCCTGGCTCACTGCAACACCTTCCTCATTTGCCTCTTGACTTTTAGCTTCTTTTCCTTCTGAATGTCCCTGCATACTTCTGTTAAAAAGTCATACAGATAGAGAAAATAAAGAAAGGGTTCTTAGAGGATGAGAGCAAGATGGGTCGTGAAGTTTGCACTAGATTTTGATGGATGGCAATAATTAGGGAGAATCAGATGGAAGAGCAAAGAATCTATGAAGTGGGGAAACTTGGAGGAGAAAACAGGGGAGAAGACATGTTGAAGTTCTCCCCGAGTGTAGCCAGACTTTATAGAGGAAAATCACTACAAAGAATTGCACACCGTGATTGGCTCCCCAAAGGAAACCTCCAAAAATGTAAGTAGATTAAGATGGCAATATGAGCCCAAGTGCTCTCTGAAAACTGAGAAGAGGGGGAGATTGTCTCTCCATTGTCAAGAAACCAAAAGAGGTTAAGAAGGGACTGAGCATCTTTATGGAGCTTAAGGGCTGCTCTGTTCCACTTGCAGTGGTCAATACCAGACACCATGGGAGGCTTAAAATGTCCAAAAACTTTACAATTTATCCCTTCAATCATCTATTCCCAAACTTTAGGTTGCATAGGGAATTAAAGTCGTTTATAGCATATGTCCCAAATGGAATAAATTTAACTGTTTAATGTTACCTTTAAACCACTTTTGAGTAAAGAAATATCAAGCAGCAATGTAGAGAGTGAAACAGCAACAAAAAAAGGAGATTCTATCAGATCTCTTCAAAGAGATTAAAAAAATAATTCCTTAAAAAAATAACCTACATGTTCACACATTGGTATTAATTTGAATAGATAATGGGGGTGGAGTTGTAGCTCAATGGCAGAGCGCTTGCCTAGCACAGGTGAGGCCCTAGGTTCAATCCTCAGCACCACATAAAAACAAATAAATAAAGGATATATTATTTACTTAAAAGGGTACAATTAAAATTCTAAAAATATATATATGCACTTCCAATAGAGTAATAGGAAAAATGGGGGCGGGAAGTTCCCCAGAAGTGATCAAAACATGCTTAAGATAAATTCTATGTCAATGAACCTCAGGAAGTTGTAGTTTCTCTAACTGCTAATTTATAATCTACTATGAAATCCCAAGATAAGTCTTCTAAATTTTTAACACTGTAGAGTTGTTTTTATGTTTCTTTTGTTACATCACAAGAAAAAGATAACACAGAAACAAAAGTACTCAAAGGATAACAGGCTCAAAATGCCTGCATTTTTCATAGTATAAAATTTTTCTTTAAGGAAAAAAAAATTTTTTTAAAGCATCCTTTGAGCCTGTAACGCACAGTTATCTAGGTCAACTCTGTCATTTATCTACCACATTGAGACAATGAAACAACCACAGGGTAATTCTGCCCTTGCCACAGTAAGAATGAAGGTAAGTGAGAGTACTTGGCAGGGATAAGATAGGACAGCCACGGGGATGATGCTTCGTTCTAAAATAAAATGGACAAGTTCTTGCAGAGGCTTGATTGGGCAATACTGAGGAAAGTGAAAGAAAACCAGGAAAACAGGCACCTCTGCACGCCGTCTCCTCAGCACCCAGCCACTTGCTCCTCCAGTGCACAGACTTAAAAAGACCCAAATGTCTATTCACATAGCAGCTAAACTTGTAAAGCCAGGAAAGTAGCTAAGCCACCCCTATACTTGCCTTCTGCCAGAAGGGGCACAGCACAAACTGTCCCTCCTTTCATGGAACATTCACCCCAGTGTTTCTGTATTTTGCCAAACTGAAACCCCTCATCTGGACAGTAGATGGGTGAAATGCCATAGCAAGCAACAACCTGATTTCTTTTTTAAATTAGTATTAAGCTCAAAGATTTGCAGTAACCCATTAAAAAAACTTATCTCAATTTCAAATGAAGACTGTATCATTTTTATTGCACCAGTATCTAAAAATATGACAAGCCCTCTTCCTTTCAGCTGACTCTGAAAAGACAAACAGAGAGGGAAAAACATCCAGTTACACAGTTACTAGAAATTCTCTCTCAAATGAGAATAAGAATACCTCACAGCATGGAAGCCTGTCTCATTCTTGAAGAGTTTTCCTTCAATCAAACCAGAAAAGGGCATGGGTAAACCAGAAAAGGGCATAGGTGCCAAAGAAAACCAAAAGTCAGACTCCATCAGATGTAGAATCTACACTGTGTTCACTATAGCACAGAAATTGGGACAACTGTCCAATGTACTAGTAAGCTAGAAACAGTAGCTAAAGCAGACATCCAGTTTAAAAAAAAAAAAAAATCCAACCATCTTACAAACCTCCAGAAGTGTTCCTGAACCTGCTGATGCTCTACCTGCATCACTGAAAGTGAAGCCAAAAAACTGACGCTTCTCTAAACCTTCCTTTAGTATCAGTATTACATCAAGCAGTGTGCACTACATCTCAGTATGTGCCACTTGGTGTTAAAAAACATATACTCATCTGCTTGCAGCACTAAAGAAGTAGTAGGTGAAGTCTCTATTCATGCCACCAGTATCACCAATGCTGGGCAGTGGAAATCACCAAATCATGAGGAAAAATGACACATCAGAAGCTATAAATAAGAGAATGTGGCTAAGTCTTAAAAATAAAATGTTAAAGAGTAGGGATATAATTAAGATTATGAATTATCTAATTTTAATGAACTAAAAAAATGGCTTATTAGCTCCAAACTTTTTATTAAGGAAATTTCCAAAGAGATGCTAAAAGGGAAATACCATGGTTACTCTAATAGATTTAACAATATTTGTTTCTCAGTATCTGAGGGGTACTTGTTCCAGAAATCCCTGCAGATGCTTAAGTTTCTTAAATAAAATGGTATGGAATTTGCATGTAACTTATGTACATCCTCTAGTACACTTTAAATCATCTCCAGGTTACTTATAATACCTCATATAGTATAAATGCTACTAAGGAGTTGTTAAACTATATAATTAAGGGAATTTTGTTTTAAAGTCTATACATGTTGAGTACAGATGCAATTTTTTTTAATATTGTGATCCACAGATGATTGAATCCACTGATGTACAACCCACATTATAGAGGGCTGACTATACATCTCCAGAATATTTTAACTACATATGTATGAATAAATGCATACATTTACAAATGTAAATAGGTAACATTTGGAAAAATGTAGATAAAATGACACTAAACCCCAACAACTCCTAAGGATATTCCCATACCTAAGAAGACATGCTCAGAGATCTGCCATGTCATTAAGACTTAACTGCCAAAAGAAAACACTGTAACCATTTCACCTAGTATTCAAGACTTTCAATGAACTCTACCTCAAACAACTACCCCAGCTTCCTCTCCCATAAGTCTGGCATGGATATTCAAATCAGGGAAAACCATGCCTTCAGTGCTAGGGTCCACACTTTCCCATCTGAGCATCTCACTATTCTCTCTGCAGATCAATCTCCTTCTCCCTAGTTTCTGTAAACCCCTCTCACTCCCACAGCATGAAGAAACTGCTCCTTATCTTTCCATTTGCTAATTAAAAGAGTGGTTTGTAAACATTCCTTGGTGCAGTCTAGGAAAAAAGGCGATTTCTTCCCCATCTTTTCATTGCTGATAGCATTTCCCATGGTTTGTAGAAGATACTCTATAAATCACTGTTAAATACATCAATAAAAAAATTCTCAATTTTATATGTTAACAAAAAGAGACGAATGGAATAGATTTGTGTTTTATCATATTACAAATCTTTTCATGTAGATACTCCATTTCCAATTCTTAAAAATCAAACCACTTGCTTAGTTTACTGACAAACAGTATGCATAAAACAATCTTTGAAAAAAAATGTAAAATGTACTTACCCTTTCATTATTGTAGTAAGAAATGCTAAGGCCATCAAATTTCACCCATCTCTTCTGAAACATGCGTTTTCTGTAAAACACATGAAATTGTTATTTTACATTTAAGTGGCATGAACTTGGATTTTTAAATACATTTGTAGTGTAGCTATGCTGAGTGCAATTCGTCTCTACTGTTAAGCAGTGTATACAAAAATAGGCTATGATAGTACAGTTTTGGGCAATGGAACATAGAATCAACAAATGTATAACAACACTTTCTAATTAGCTGACATAGCTTTTTTTTAAATAATAATGTTAAGTGCAAAACCAAGTGTAGTCACAAACATTATCATCAAAACCATTTCCATTAATGGAGATAATCTTTAAATGAAGGTAATACATAAAACTTTCATCTCTCACAAAGCTTATACACTTATTTTGCCTTGATTTTTGCTTTGGTGGATGAATAATATTTTGCAAAACTAGCAAAGCTTTCTTACCTGAATTTACATAAATTATTATATTTTGACTAAATAAGATGGGGAAAGCCCTGTCAAGAAATAATCATTTACAGTCACTCAGAATTCAGTGAAACTTCTGTATTTTTCAAAAGAGGATCATATGAAAGGCAGATGCAATTTTAAAATGGTTTTTGATGTGAGAAAACAAAGGCAAAATAATAAATAACATTTCCTATTTAGGTTTAAAAAAACATATTTTTCTTACTTTAAATGAGGGGTATAAAGAACTACTTCTGCTTAGGTTTGTCTTTTGTTTTGCTTATTTCCCTTCCCTTAAGTCAGACAATCCACAGACTGTGAATATCCTGTTCTCTACAGGCTTTTAGTCTGGACTAATACCATACAGATACTTTCAGCTTTTAACACAGACAACATATGGAAACTAACTTCCTGTTTTTAAAAAAGTCATTTTTAAGTGAATATGTAAACATCAACCATATATACTGTCTCTCCTTTTGCTCTTTTCTAACACATTTCAACAAGGTGATATAATTTCCTGTGGCTTTCAGAAGATTTAAAGATAGAAAGAGAACTTCCGGGCATCTGGAAAGTTTGTCTTCCGGCTGTGTCCCTGCTACACATTCATTACTCAAGTGAAGTACAGCAAGTCTCCTTAGTGAGCAGACATGTGCCACTCCAGATCAAATTAGACCAACTCTGATGAAATGGAGAAAACGTCTTAATTCATCAGTGCAGATGAGTTTCACATGTAAGCACTGAACCTTGAAGTAGTAAGAATACATAAGGAACTTAACATCAGACAACCACACTGTCCACCCAGCCCACTTTCTACCTTATTCCCTCATCTTCTTACTGCTTAACTTCTCTTGGCCTGTCATGTGTTTTTTTCACATTGCAACATCCAACTGTGTTACAGACATCTGGGTTTTACTTCTGCTAGCAACCCAAGAGTTCTTCAAATTCCCAGCATTAAAAATTAAAAGGTAAAGAATATTAAGCAAACACACAATTATATATTGCATAATTAATCACTCTGCACTCAGTTCTTGTTTCTCTCTGCTATACTTAAAAGGCAGGTAACTATACAACTTCCTATACAATACCAACAGTAACTTGGAAAATCAAGATTTTGATTGGGGCCTCCACCCACCTTACAAACAGTGGTTAAGTTAGAGCTCAGTAGCATATATCATCTTTCATTTGAACATCAAAATGGTCAAAATCTGTGGAGGAGATAAGACCTTGGGGTCTTTCATTACCCTTCCTCTTCCCTTTGCTAACTTTTCATGTTTCTAAATTGCACCTAAACTATCCACACAGAAATGCCTTCCCTCATAACCCAATCCAAAGCAGATCTCAAAGCTATTCTCTCAAAGCACCTTCTACCTTTCCTCTAGCACTCAACACAAATTCGATCATTTGTATTAGTTCATTTGCTTAATGTCAGTCTTAACACTCGCCTTTATGTCTTGCAAGGATCCACTTCAAGAATGTTTTCTTCTCCATGATCAACAACTAACACACAGATAAATATGGCACTCCAGGAGAATATACTGAATGAATAAGCAATGCAATCAAAGCATAGTCCTTTAAGAAACATGGGCAGGATGATATGAAAAGAATACCTAAACACCCAGCACTCATAAATAATTAGCATCTTTCAACATTTCAGGAAAGACAGAGAAACTTCTGAAAACTCGGAATGAAATTAAATATGTAAAAGTACCAAGCAAAGAAGTTCAGAAACTTAACATGTCTTACTTAGCAGTCATTTAATTGGACTCATAAAGCTTTCTTAGAATCCACGGTGTGAGCTTGAGGTCTGAGGCATCATCTAAGAATCTAACTTCAAAAGAATGAGGAAAGTTAAAAGGAAGACAGCACAGTATTTATTGGGCTTTGGGGTCAAAATCGCTACTATTTACGAGCTGCATCTCCTTCTCAGGCACTATAATGTAAAGGACGCACTTGACCTTGGCTCTTGACACTGCTTTTGGTTTGTATGTTTTGAGATGAGATGTTGGTATATTGCACAGGGTGACCTGAACTCTCGATCCTCCCATCTCAGCCTCCTGAGTAGCTGGGAATATAAACATGTACCAGTTTGTCTAGCTACGTTTGGCTCTTTGAGAAAAGCCCAAGAAAACTTCAACCTAAAAGAGTCTTAGCTCCTAAAACACTGTTCCAACCATTTTAATTTTTGCAACTGCCAGGTAACTATCTGACATGTCTATCCATTTTAAACTCAATATTTGTACAAGCTATTAAATACGTCTAGTAATCTGTGGTGGGATAGGTAAATAAGACAAATGCCAGCCCCTAGAAATGCAATGAGAAGCATATGGAAAATAGTTGTAAGAATCACCATTCTGTAGTTGGGGGGCGCTATGTTGCAATTCTACCATCAAACTGTTACTTCTGCATTCACTCATCCAGTCAGCCATCAAAATCTGCCACTTCCTCTGTAGACGGTATCTGCTCACGTGGCCTCTATGTCTAGACCTTTCTTGCCTGATGCACTTCCCATAAACCATTTTCTCTGCTCAAAATTCCCTTCCAACTGTGAACATGGGAGGGACCTTCTAACCATCAAGTTCTCAGTTTAAATGTTATTTCCTCCAAAAGATCATCCAGGACCAACACAGTTGCTCAGGCCCCCTTTTTTTCTTCTCCATTTCTTTACTTAATGACACTTACCATTAAAATTTGAATTGAGTGCAGAAACCATTTGTTTTGTGTATCTGTGTAAAACCTGTGATTACCATACTTCCTGGCATATAAAATATACTTATTATAATGATTACAAAATAGATGATGAATACATTTTTCATTGAAAAAAGGCTTACTCAAAATCGCACTTTGCAAATACAGAGAAAAAGGGTACTAAAACACTTTACCATTTGTTTTTTTACTAAATACTAAAGATCAAGGTTTTTTTAATGACCAAATAAAAATTTTCTAAACCTATCTTGTTATTAATGAAAAAAGTGAGAACCTATAGGAAGCTTGAATTTCGACATTAGTTTTGAAGTAATTTTAAAATGCATTTTAGACTTTTTAAAAAAATTTAAACAACCTTTCCCCAATACATCTATTCCTCAGTCCCTGATAATATTCTGCTCTCTGTTTTTATAAGTTCAACATTTTAGAATATAAATATAGTGATATTGGTTAATACATACTATTACTCCTCATCGTTAAGTGTTTTAAGAATATTCTCTGAACTAGGTTATGCCTTTCCTTTAAATTTTATTTAAAGGCTTAATTTTTTTCACTATTTTAAAAAATGATAATATATACAGACATTGTCACCTTAGTCTAAGTTCCTACTATTACACAACTATTATACAACTATTACACAACACAAACTTGATCTGAAATAATGATGCATTATTACAGAGAAGAGGTTTTAAATTTTCAATTATAAGTTCTGAGTATCTAATGTACATTATGATGACTATAAATAATGATACATCTTATACTTGAAATCTACTAACAGTACACTTCTTAGTCAGGTGTGGTGGCACACACTTGTAATCACAGCAACTCAGAACGCTAAGGCAGGAAGATTCCAAGTTTTGAGACCAACCTCAGCAACTTAGCAAGCCCCTAATAATTTAGTTAAACTCTGTCTCAAAAGAAAACATTTTAAAAAAAGGGTTAGGGATGTGGCTCAGTGGTAAAACAACCTTGGGTTTAATCCCTTGTACCAAAAAAAAAAAAAAAAAAAGAAGAAGAAGAAGAAGAAGAAAATAGATCTTAAGTGGTCTCACCCCAAAAAGGAAGAATAACTCTGGGAAACATGTTAATTGTCTTGTGTGTGGTAATCATTTCACCATGTATAATATGTGCATCAAATCCTTGCACTACACTTTTCAAATATACACAATATTTGTCAATCATACTTCCATAAATATGGGGAAAAAAATTAGTAGTACTCATACTGTATACATTGATACTTTCCTATTTTAAAATGCACTATAACCCATTTAAGATTTATCTAAAAGTAATTTATGTAAACATTGAATAATCTGTATTGCTCATTAAATGTGTCAACTTTTAAACAGCTATTTTCTACAAGTGAACTTCAATACTGAATTCTAATAATTAGTGAATTAAAGATAAGAGCTTATACTTACATCCTTTCTCAAAGTATTATCCCCCTTTTTAGCAAATAGAAATTTGGATTTAATGTTGGTAAATCCTATAAATTAACCAAAACTTCAACTAAGTAATAAAAAGAAGAGTTTGAGAAGTTCTGTGCTTCTAAATTCCAAAGTAAAATTTTTATTTTAAAAACTATTTATTAGTGAACACTAGATTTCTTTTTGCATCACAATTATTATTATACATATAGAACAATTTTCATACCTCTATTTGTATAAAAAGTATGTTCACATCAATTCATGTCTTCATACATGTACTTTGGATAATGACGTCTAAATTTTTAAAATCAACATTTCTGTTAACTATTTCTCTCATGAATTTATGAAAGTCTACTCATTATTAGTCAATCAATTCCATAGGAATTATCTCTGATTGATAAGTAAACTATGAGGTATAGTTCAATTATTTTAACTTTTCTCTGAAATTATACCTTTTCATTAAA